AACTAATAATAATAATAATAATAATAATAATAATAATAATAATAATAATAATAATAATAATAATAATAATAATAATAATAATAATAATAATAATAATAATAACAATAATATTAATAATAATTTTAAACATATATATTATTCATCAGGCAGTAGGTTCAGTAGGTTCAGTTTGGATGAAATAGGCAGAAGACTTAGGTGTTGGTCTGGGTCCTTTGGGGCCTATCCAGTTGGATGGGTAACCAACAAGTTGAAAACACTTGTCAGCTGTATGTCCATTGTATCCACAGTGGGTACATTTGAGTTTTTTTCTGTCTTTGAATGGCTGTTTGGGAGGATTGGTCTGAGAATGAGATTGATTATGAGAATGGGATTGATTATGAGAAGATTTGGTAGCCATAGCAACTGGATCAAGGAACTGAGGTTTATTGTTAAGAGATCTTTGTGTTTCCTCCTGAAGTAGTAAGGAATACACTTTGGAGAGTGGTGGTAGGGGTGTAGATAGAAGGAAATGGCTTCTGAGTGAAGAGTATGAGTCATTTAACCCAACCAGAAACTTCATCACAGAATCATTGTGCTGAGATACAGCCATAGCCTCAAAGATATTACAAGTACAAGAAGCAAAAGCACCACAATTACATTTGAAAATAGGCCTGTAAGTAGCATACTCGTCCCATAACGATTTGAAAACATTATAATATTGTCTGAGGTCCTTGAGCAATGGTACTAAGAGATTTTTCCAGATGAAAAACCCTAGTACCGCTGCTCAGGACATAACGAGTTTGCAATTCAAGCCATACATCACGAGCAGTAGTAAAGAACAACAATGACTAACGAATATCCTTACAGACTGAATTAAGCAACCATGATAGAACCAGATTGTTAGCGCGTAACCAAGACATGTAGAGAATCGGATTACCAGACGCCGACGGAGCAGTGATAGAGCCATCGACGAACCCGATCTTGTTCTTGACACTAAGCGCCATGAGCACGGCGCGAGACCACGAGACGTAGTTCTCCCCGTTGAAGGATTCTGCAACAATCAGAGCGCCCGGATTGTCGCTCGCGTGCAGATAAAAGACAGATGCAGGATCATCGGAGGGATTGATTGTCATTGCCATCACAGAATCAAAAGAAACAGTAGTGAATCGAAGATCTAGAGTTACAGATCTAGGGTTTCGCGAGAAAACAGCAAAAAAATCAGCGAAAAATAGAAAAACCAAAAGAAAAAGAAAGTATCAGATGAGAAGCAGCGGGAATCGAACGGAAAACCACAGGATCGGCGAGGTTTAGCCGGCGAATGATACCATATTGAGATCTGATGAACACGAGAGTAAAGGGAAACACACAAAGAGAGAAAAAGAAACTGCGATATTTTTGATAAAGTGAAAAGTGAAGTACAAAGATGAGTTGTGACCCTATTTATACTTAGGGTTTTAATACAAAATTGCTGAAAGTAAATGACAACTTTAAAAATAAAAATTACAACACATTTACAACTCTATTTACCTAATCCTAATACAAGTCTAATACTCTAATAGTAAGTTATGCAATTTATATTTAGATTGTTCATTTTTATTAATTATTAAAATTTTAAAATATGATATACACATAACTTTAAATATTGTACACATACAAATAATGTATAATATTTTATTTGCTATTAGCTGACTAGTTATAAGGGCATCCAATAGACTTCTGTATGGTTATGAGAGGACAATTTTATTACGGCCTTGTTTGGCTATTAGCTGATAGTGGATAATAGGTTGTGTTAGCAAATAGCATTTAGAGAATTGTAACAAAGCATTTTGACAAGAGCATTGTATTAGCTGTTTGTAATTAACTGATAGTGGATAATAGATTGTTTTAGCAAATAGCATTTTGAGAATTGTAACAAAGAATTTTGACAAGAGCATTGTATTAGTTGTTTGTAATTAACTGATAGTGGATAATAGATTGTTTTAGCAAATAGCATTTAGAGAATTGTAACAAAGAATTTTGACAAGAGCATTGTATTAGCTGTTTGTAATTAATTATTTTAGCGAACTGCGTAACTATTTTAGAAATTTTATATTGACATGCTATTCCACGAATTCTTTTTTTTCTCATCAAAACACTCATACATTTGAGTTTTTTCAAAATTAATGTTTGGAGGTCAAAAAATTAATCAAATAAGTTATTTACTAAACAAGCTAATTAACTTATTTGACGTGTCAAACCTCTATAATTTATGCTTCATGATGCTTGCTTTTGAAAAATTATCAACTATCAAATTGATTAGACACCAATGCCGGCAAAGTTTCCTTGCTTGTTATGGAAACCAGTGTAGAGATGGAAAGCAGCCTTTCCCAAAATGTCAAAAGCTGAATATACGAGACACAAAGGTTAGTCCATTTATCAAAATTTAAAATTAACGAGAAAAGAAAATCTCCTGATTTATTCTTCATCATTATCTTTCTCTACCAAAACCCTCTTCATGGCCTCGTAACACATGAACGAGATCCCGGCTGCCGGCACCAACTTCAGGCAACTCGGTCCAAGCCCCTTGTACAGTCCGCCCAGCCCTTCCCGCTCGAGTATACTCGCAAGCGCATGAAGCACATTGTTGTACACCTGGCGCCCGCTAACAGCCCCCACCTGCATGTGCTTGCGGGCCACCTCTAGCGGAAAAGTTGCCGAGCTCGAGATGGCCCCAGCAGCCGACCCAATCAAGAGGGTCTCTATGTTGCCGATCTTTTCCTGTTTGAACACTTTTCGGTATACTTTTCGCAGCGTGTCATATGCACAGTAGTTTGTGGCTGCATAAGGGATTACGCCTATCAGACTCGGGGCGAGGCCCCTGTAGAGCTCCCGGGGCCCACCTTCTTGCAGAATTTTCACAAAGGCATCGAGCAAGCCATTGTAGACATTTCTCTGAAAAATCAGAAAACGAAAGAATTAACTTTTTAGTTTCTTTTTTTTCTTTTCTCTTTTCCTGTTTAGTGTGCTTGTGTTTACCTGTATGGTCAATCTAGTCTTGACTAACTCGAGAGGGTATGTAACGAGAGTTGAGCTCACTCCAGCGCAGGCTCCGGCAATCAATGAGGGAGGGAATGGTAATTTGGGGGATTCACCGGCTTTTGGTGACAAGTTCTTGTTCACCGTGTCGTAAACAAACAACTGCAAGGAAAAATGTAAAGCACTCAGGAAATGTAGGGCGTTAGAAGTAATACTAAAACCGAGAGATTGATTATTTTCCATCTCTAGCTTCTCTCCATTCACATGTTAACAAGGCATCTGTCTTTGAGAAAAAGCATGAATCAACAAGTAGAATGATGACGCTAAAACTTGGTTCAAAGTACAATGCCTAGCCTTGAATGTTTCATCCACTAGAACCTATCTACATTGTATGGCCGCCATAGTATCACAACAACAAAGAATCTCTATAATCGGACATTTACTCGTTAAGAATAACTTGATAAAGAGCACTAACATCATATTTTGCCTCGTGTAGAAAAGAAAACAGGACAAGTAGAACAGAAATTCTGTTCCCAATCATCTGCATATGTACGTGCCTGCGACAAGAGCTTAAAACAAATTGCCTGTGCAGTAAACCTATTTCATGCCCATACTCTTTCCTCTAATTAGGCAAACACAGTGGTCATCAGAAAAGAAAAACGAAAGGAAGAAAGAAAGGAAAAGGGATGCTATTCAAGCAGACACTTCGAAACATTCACAGGGAAATGCTAGAGCCTTAAGGTTATGCATAGACCACAATAAAAGCAAGTCAGCATCATGAGTAAAATAATAATCCACCAAAAGTACAAGGCAATAGCATCATCAGTAAGCATATCCTCCAGTGCAAGTAAAAATTTCCAAAACGAAACATAGAACAAACGAAGCCGCATTGTGTAAGAAAATTCTCCACCTAATTCAGTCTGTCAACAGAAAAATGAAAATGTTCACACATATCATTAACAATCCAAAGCCAATTCCCCCCACACTCAAGAGTCAAAAAATGGATAGTATCAAACAAACATGAAGAAAGCAGACCTCACCTCAATGGCTTTGCTAGGCGCAACTCGAATCACATTCACGAAATTTCCCCTGAACAACCCGGGCCAACCTTCCGTATTCATGATATCACGAAAAACCTCCATTGTCGAGTGTCCGCTGCTTCCCACCATTAAATGAGTCCTGATTGTCTCCAGTGGGGCTACAGCGGTTCTCGAGACGGCCCCAGCTATACCCCCGCTTATCAACCTCCTCAACGAAGGATTTGAAATCTTAATCTTGATCCTGAACCCGTTTTTCCTCTTCTCACCCGCTAGCCCCTTCTCCTCCTCAGACGTCGTACCTATACTGTTGAAGCCCTCGGGCAGCGAAACGCATTTCACGAGCAAGTCCGCGCACGGTAATTTAAAGCCGCCGTTTTCATTGCTCCCCATTTGGCTCACGGACGCGAACAAGCCGCCTCCTGGGTAGGAGCTGCAGTCCTGGAGATTCCACTGGAGCCCCAGTTGAGAACTTGATGGGACACCATAATTATTGGATTTGAACTCCAAAGATTGCATTTTTATACTCCCACCCATCGTTTCAAGGCTTTCTAACACCTCAAGAACCAGACCCTTGTGACAATTGACTTCCTCTGTAACTTTTTTTTTTTTTTTTTTTCTGGGAAAATTCAAAACAAAGCCGAATGTTGGAGGCGGCGGTTTCTTCAACAAAGTGATTCTTTATTATGTTTCTGAGTGGGGACTGTTTAAATGATACTTCCCTAATTTCTTCCCCCACGCAAGAAACGCTAATTATAAAATATGATGAAAAGATTATAAAATATGAAAAGTTAGGATATAAAGTATATAGATAGTACGTACATCCACTACATTTTAAAATGATAACTGTTATAAAACTAAAGAGAAAAAGAGAGAAAATAGAGAAATGTATTTTCATGGTGTGTTTTTCATTATAACTCAAGTTTTTATTTAAAAAAGAAATTTTAATGACACAACCGTAAGAATACAATTGCATCAGGGATAAAATAGTTATTCACATATATTATTTTATAATAAAATTAATGGTGGTGTTTAAGCCGAAACTGCCGATGAATCGCTACCGAAACTGCCGAACCGCCTATACAACAGCTGAACCTGAGCCCCGAATCACACCCAAATCAACCCACCCCCGACCAGAGGAACCACGAACCGACTCTCCACACCGGCACGACTCGAGCTCGTCTAATACCACTAGCCGAGCGCAGAGCACCGGACCTCTCCCCTCCCCCGTACCCAACACTAGAGAACCGGGAAGATGAGAGCGGCTCGACACCTGACTCCGACCACCCCGACGTCGAGACATCGCAATCGAGCTTGATTATGAGTTAGTCCAAAGTATATAATTATGTCAAATAAAATTACGAAGCGTGCAAGTCTGGGGCTTAATCTCAACATGTTCTAAAATTATATATAGAGGTATATTTTACTTGTGTACCAAATATATGTCGATAAATAATTCTGAATCCAAGTGGATCACAAAAGTGCTTCACGTACAACCGAGTAATGGGCTACTTGGGTAAGATACAACCCACTAATGGGCTACTTGGGTAAGATACAACCCACTGGACTCTACATATTGGGTTAGTTTATTTCTTTGTTATAAATCCCAAACATCCAGTATATTCTGAAAATTGAAGAGGAATTTGCACCCCTTACCACTAGCTATGATTTTTATTACACTTATATGCCCCTTATATTTTTATTTATAAAATTGTCTAACTAAGCTAAAAAAATTTCAATTTTACCTGACATTGGAATGTAACCGTTATATCTTTTTTTCTGGCATATTAAATGGTAATCAGATGCTTAATTGAATTGTTGATTCTCTTTCCATTATTGCCCCGCTTTAACTGCCTGTAATTTGTTTATTAAAATATATTCATATCACATTTTGTTCATTAAAATTCAGTATGCCATATTGGTTTGGGAAAAAAACTTTTTGTCATCCGAACTATAACGATTTTTGCGCATCACCATATAAACTATATTTTTTAACAAACCACCACCTAAACTATACGGAATTGTCAAATTGCCCTCTAAACCGGAAAAAAAAAAGTGGTTTTGACTAATAAAAGCTGATTTTTGAGGACATTTTAGAAATTTCATATATATTTAAAAAAAAATGAAAAAGATGAAGAACAAATGGACGGCGACCAACTGATTACTAACATAGCCATTGTCGGAATCAGTTGCAGCCCCCCGGCGATCGGTGAAAAAATGAACGGACGACCGGAAATTTAGTTTGGTTTGCTTCTGCAGGAAACAATATGGCTAGCAGGCTTTGAAAAAAAAATCTTTATCTGAAATCAAAACAGAATGCATGAGCATATTCAGTCGGCTCAAATTTTTCGGTCACGTCTTTCTACGTGCAGACTTCCAGTTCCAGCCCATAATGTGTTTCTTAAAGAAATGTTTGAATCCCGGTGTGTTTATAGAACTTCAATAAAGGAACACACGTTTGCACTTTTTGATGTTTTCTAGAATTGGATTTAGTTTAAATTTGCTCCCTTGTTGACATGGACTGTATATATTGATTGCTTAAAAAAAAAAAAAAAAAATTTACATGCGTTAATATGATATATCACAAATAATATATACAAAAAAAAGACTTCTTTATTATACAAAAAAAAAAGACTTCTTTATTACAAAAAAAAAAAGACTTCTTTATTATTAACTATCAAATTCTTAAGGTAGAAAGGCTTTAAAATTGGAACTTAATTACACACAAAAATCCATATACGTATAGAATTATATATACATTGATCATAAAAATAAAAAATGAATGAAAATAAAAGTGACAGAAAAAAAAAAGATTACGGCAGGCAAGTGATGGAGATTAATTGGGACCCAATGCATCGGAGGACCGGAATTAGAGATGTAACGGCAGGAGGAAGCCATTGAAGATGAGCAGAAAAAAGAAAAACTCAGAAGAATTTTCTACGATCAACTCCCTTCATTTTCCTTTTATTTTTTAAATATACATCAAATTCCTAAAATACCCTTAAAACCAGTTTTTTTTAGTTAAACCCACTTTTTTTCCGGTTTAGGGGTCAATTTGACAAACCCGTATAGTTTTGGTGGTGGTTTGTTAAAAAAAATAGTTTATATGGTGATGCGCAAAAATCGTTATAGTTCAGATGGGAAAAACTTTTTTACCCTATTGGTTTTGTTTTTGGCCCGTAAACATGCATTTGCTTTGCATATGTTTCTTTGCGGGCACATGTCTCACTTCAGCAGCCATTCGAACATTTGTATAAGCGTGTAATCTTGAGCTCTTTCGAGATTTATCAACAATATGCAAAGCGTGCAATAAGGGAATAAGAGAGATGATTGCCGCCGACGATGGCGTCCTCTAAAGAGGGTTTCGACATTGCCATAATCAGGGGAGATGATTGGTTGGTTGTAGGGAATTTGAAATTTGCTTTGATTTTTTTTAGGGTTTTGGATTGTGTGTAGATTAGTCTTTACGTTGAAATTCGTAGATATTGGATTGGAGTATATGTACAGTATATGTTTGGTATATGCGATACCATTTGTTGTCTTTTTTTATGTTACGTCTGGTATATGCGATACCTTTTTGTTGTGGTTTTTTTATTATCCAATGGTTTATTTCTGCTATATGTTTGGTATATGCAATACCTTTTTGTTGTAGTTTTTTTATTATGTTACGTCTAGTAGATTTGTTTTAGTCATTTCTATCTTAAACCAAACAATATATTGTTGAACATAAAGATAAAATATACTGAACATAAACAAAAAATATACTTATACTGCACATATAAAAATAAATTGTTGAACATAAACCAAACATATTAAAACTACGCAATTTATTTCTATGAACAAATACCAAAATATATTGCACATATACATTTTTTTGTGATAAAGAAAATTATAGCGAGACATAGTTTTTATGTATAAAATTAGTTTATATTTAGCATAAAATGATTTTTGTTGTTGTTGTTGTTGTTGTTGTTGTTGTTGTTGTTGTTGTATATATGTATGGTTTATATTAAGTAAGTTGTTATAATATGTTTTTAAATTATATATACACTTTTATGTATAAAAGAAATAAAAAGAAGAAAATATAATTTTTTGATGGAAGACATTTTCTTCAATACAACCATATACTAACATAAACGCAATATATACCACCTGACAACTGCGTGAATTAAGGAATTCAAGTTGCGCACATATACTGAATATATACTAACATATACTCAATATATACCATCTGACAATTGCGTGAATTAAGGAATTCCAGCTGCGCACATATACTGAATATATACTAACATATACTCAATATATACCACATGAGCTGCGTGAATTAAAGAATTCCAATTGCGCGGAATTAAATGAGTTTGTTATTTTTTATAGGCATGTTTTTCATTTCTCTCTCTTATTCAATTCCATTAAAAGGGGGATGGATGTTGAAGATTATAGTAACTGAATTTAAGCATTAATATTACTTATCATGTATTAGGTAAGTTTGTAATTATTTGTTTATGGATTGTATATTTGTAATATTTTTAGAATCATATAGGATATATAAAAATTTCCCAAAATTGAAGTCCCACCAAATGAAGTATCCAACAGTACTTTTTAATCTCAAACTAACATTTTTTAGTACAAAATCAAGTGTCTTATGACTTTTTTACAGCATATCAATGTTCTTTTGAACTCAAATTTGTTAAATTAGTGGACCATTTTCTCAAAACCAGGACGAAAGTAAAGTTTACCTGTTATATTTAGCAGTCAATTTCTAAGTTAGGTGTGAAGAAAAAAAAGGCAACACCATTTAGAAAAGTTGAAGACATCGCCTCCCACTCATTTATACTCCTCCGCACAAGATTTTTTTTTAGCCAGCCATGGTATACGGAGCTATGTCTCGACTAATCTGTTGGTCGATCCGGGTCGCAAACTTAGCAGTGGTGGGTGAGTCTCCCAACAAAGATTTTCTGCATCCACAAAGACTCAAACCAGAGACCTTACTTAATAGACATCAAACTGCTTGAGGATGCTTGGATACAAATTAATCTCAAAAAATTCCAATCATTTTTAACTCAACTACTTTTTTAACTCAACTTTAACTCAACCCCACTATCATCAATATTTTACTATAATTAAATATTATCAACCAATCATTTATACACATCACATCAACTTTAATTCACTATTCATCAACTCACATAATTTTAACTAACCATCCTTTCAACTTCTCTCTCTTACTTTTTACATCAAATCACCTTTAATTATTTTATTTTAAATATTATTTTAATATACCCACTAACAACTAACCATACCACATTTTTTTAAAATTAACCAAACCAACCAAAAAAATCCAAACAAAACCAAAAAATTTTATATCCAAGCATCCTCTTACTACTTGAGTCAACCTATGTTGGTTCCCACTCCCCAGCAAAGATTTTAAGACAAGATCAAGCTTCTACATTATTACGGGCCAAGAAAAATGTGACCCCATTTTCAATTAAATGCTAAATAAGTAATATAAACAAACATTT